GCATTTTGACTTACAAATATTCTCCTTTATTGATAAGAATGAACATATGGAATAATGTGAATAAGCTATCTAATGTTGAAACAGATAATCGAGCTAGTATTGTCTGAAGAATGGACAGGCCTTAAATCTATGGGATTTTAAAATAAAATTTATTCCAACCCAACTGGAAGCTACAGGGATTGAATCTAAGACCTTTTCTATGTTCTGCAGTATTACTGAGTTTTCCATTAAACTCTCAGGCTCTGGTTTTGCTGCAATGAAATAAAATGATTCTTTGTCTAGACTGTCAGCTCTAGACTCCTGAATGAGAATGGCATACCAGTTTTCTGCCAACAATATTCTCTCTCTAAGAAACAGTTCCAGTCAAACCTCACTTCTTTTGCTTGCAAGAAGTCCAAGAACATTACTGCAACGCTCTCTACATGGGGCTCCCCTTGAGGAGCACCCGGAGGCTCCAACTGGTCCAGAATGCGGCCGCGCGGGTAATTATGGGAGCTGCATGGCGCTCCTGCGTAACACCGCTCCTGCGCGAGCTGCACTGGCTCCCAGTGGTCTTCCGGGTGCGCTTCAAGGTGTTGGTTACCACCTTTAAAGCGCTCCATGGCATAGGACCTAGTTATCTTCGAGACCGCCTTCTGCCACCGACGACCTCCCATCGACCCGTGGGCTCCCACAGAGAGGGCCTTCTCGGGGTGCCATCAGCCAAGCAATGCAGGCTGGTGACCCCCAGGGGGAGGGCCTTCTCTGTGGGGGCTCCCACCCTCTGGAATCAGCTGCCCCCAGAGATAAGGAGAATCCAAGACCTTCCGCCTTCCACCGTGCCTTTAAAACTTTCCTTTTCCAACAAGCCGAGCTGGCCTAACAAATCCTTTTAAATGATTTTAAATTCGTTTGTCTTTTTAAATTTTGGGCCAAATTGAGATATTTCCTTTTAATCTGTTCTTAATTTATGTATTATTATGTATTATTATGTATTATGTATTTATGTGTTTTTACTTGGCTGTACACCGCCCTGAGTCCCTAGGGAGAAGGGTGGTATATAAATTTGAAGTAAAAAAAAAAAAAAAGAAGATTCAGAGTTAACAAAGACCATTTCAACTACTGAGCCCGGCTCTTTGTTCTATACAAAAAAATCAGTTTGCAAGATCCTGAAAGATGGTTACCCATCCTCTGTTTGAATGCATCCAGCAATGGGAACCTCATAATTACCCTCAGTAATTGCTTTCATTGACAATGTGTTATCATTAGAAAGTTTTCCCTGACAAAATCTGTACCGTGTCATACACCAAAAGGCACGGTAAAAGGTAAAACTGATTTTGTGGCATTCCATCAGGTACTTGAAGAGTGTTATCATATCTCAAGGTTAACTATATTCTGTTCTCACAATTTTTCTTTATGGGACTGTAGTTCCTGCTCATATTTATGGAAATTAAGTACAGTTATATCAACTGTTTGGTTTGGTTTATGAAATCTTCTGTTGACTGCATTTGTAGCACAATATCTTTCTTCATACAGGTACTTACAACAGTTCAGTTGGTGACATTTGAAGTTACAACATCCCTGAAAAAAGTGACTTATGACCGTTTTTCACACTTACAACCATTGCAGCATCCCCTTAGTCATGCGATTAAAATTTGGGTGCTTGGCAACCCAAATCATCGTATTTAAGACGGAGGCAGTGTCCTGGGGTCATGCGATCTTCTTACAAGCAAAGTCAATGGGGAAGCCAGATTCACTTAACAGCCAGGTTACTAACTTAACAGCTGCAGTGATTCACTTAACAGTGGTGGCAAGAAAGGTCGCAAAATGGAGCAAAACTCACTTAACAAATGTTTCACTTAGCAACGGAAATTTTGGGCTCTATTTTGATTGTAAATTGAGGACTAACTTTCAGCTGTCTTTTCAGTTTGTCTTTTCAGTTAATTCAGTTGAATTAAATGTATGTTTTACCGACAAAGAAATAAAGGGAGACTAGTATAGATCTATTTCAAGCTATTTAGTTTTCATCAGCTAGCCATACCCTTCTGGGATCCGAACCCAGGCTACTTGTATATTAGGGAGATATAGCTCCTGGACTGGGGCTTAAAAGTGAAAGCAGAAGCAGTATGCTCCATCCCATAATTGGGTAGACCAGGTTGCCCTGATAGACCGGTCTCACTGGAAAAAAACCTTAATCTCTCTCCTGGTATAGCCAACAAAGTGAGGAGAGCCCATGACTTAGAGGTTAATACATCTACCTATGGGAGTCCTTTTTATATTGAAAGATTTTTCAGAAATAGTTTTACTGTATATAAGAGAATATTATAACCCAACCAATGTAACTGGTAACTCAGTTACCAGTTATGACTAGTTGTAATCTGTGTATTTTTTTTTTCAGTTTTAAAATTCCATAAATTTAATAATCTGAATAAATACTAGTACTGAAACTGAACTGAAATTATATTTTATTCAGATGTAAGTTTTATAATAATCTGCAATTGATAAAATAATACTCTAAGATGTGTGAGAGAGACAATGAATGGAATATAACTGGTTTTTCTTCCCATATTTTTAATGGTCATGTTTTCAAAATGGGACTAGATTTCAGATGACCACTGCATCTGACTGATGAAAAGCCCATCAATCATATTATTTGAAAAATAAAAGTAAATAAAATTCAGGATACTTGTAAAGCTGAACATTATAGCTATATAGAGGTGGGAAAAGCTACTATAGAAATCCACAGGTCCTTACAACAGAAGAACATAGATGTATCTGTTCAGAAATAAGCCATTTATGATTACATTTCTCATTTGGTAGTCAGGTTGAATTCATAATGATTTAGCACTCTTGGCAACAATACAGAAGTTATTTGGCATTGATGTCTGGATTTTTTTTTTCAAATTCCAAATTTATTTTACACCCCTAGGTTTTCCTGCTGTGCCAATATCTGTCGAAGGATCTGTTAAAAAAAAAGGGCTGAGAAAGTTATACATGAACATACTTATTTTCATTTAAGACCCATATATCTATTTATCTGTTAATGTATTCAGGCAGTGACAAAAGCTTCGGTTGGAGATTTGGCTGCTATCCCAAAGCATCCTCAATTTCATTTTTATAAAATGGTGGCAGAATTTTAAGGCCTCACATCCAACCCACCTAAGAATGAGCTTTGTCTTGTCGTTACTTCGGACACAAATGCTATCAATGTAGGTGTGCTTGCAATATGTTCACATTTGGCAATCTCTTCCAAGGCAGGCTGTTGTACGCAGAAAAGTCTTTGAACACCAGTACCAATGTAGTTGTTCAAAAAATCCAACTACATCACTTGCTTCCTAGCAAGTAGTTGTGTCCATTAGCCCGTTCTTTGTGTACACTGTACAGCCCATCCATTTACATTATCTATATGTTTACAATTTATATCGATATTATCTATATATTACAATTTATATCGATATTATCTATAGCCATACAAAGCCTCTGAGACGATGACGTAATATCTATTTTTCAGGGCAGCAACTCTCCAGGCTATTGCAATTAAACATATGATATACATGATTGTTTTTGTAAGCAGACAGTAGAACGAGCCATGTACATTGCAGTGCCTTATTAAGTCGAGGCCTTTTTTTCTGCTTAGGAATGAATACACTTAATTAAGACCTCATGTCTTCATTTTCTTTTCCCACAATAAAACTGTACTGAATGGATTTTCCTTCCTTCCTTTCCTTGTGCCACGGAACTCAGTAATATTTCTCTACACCAGGGGCCCCCAAACGTGGCAGCTTTAAGACTTGTGGACTTCAACTCCCAGAATTCTCCAGCCAGCAAGCTGGCTGGAGAATTCTGGGAGTTGAAGTCCATAGGTCTTAAAGCTGCCAAGTTTGAAGACCTCTGGCTCTATACGGAAAGGAACAAAACAAATAATTTCACAGACGACGAGCAACAACCCCCCCTCCCCCAAACAAAGAGGATCGAAGGGGAAGATCCGACCAGGCAAAAACGCATCGCTTTCCCAGAGAACTCGGTTCTCAGCTTCCGGCCCTTTAAGGAACACCCCCTCCCCGCCCCCCCCCCCCACACCACTCCCCACGTGGCCTCAATGTTTGTGCGAGGCTCGAGCCGCGTCAGCGGAGGGCGTGGCTCGCGCTCAGAGAGGAGGCGGCCCTCCGCTTAGCATGGCCACGACTGACACGGTTGAAAAGTGGGGGGGGCTTCTCCCGGGGAGGGCGGAGCCGAGCGGGGGCGGAGCCAAGCCAGGGCCGGAGAGTGGAACCTGGCTGAGTTGAAGGGAGCGACGCTCGGGAGCGAAGCTGGTACCCGGCACCGAGGCGGCTCTTTGGCTGCACCCCCACCTCTTTTTAGTCCAGGGCTGCCGCGGAGTCGAGGGTCACTTCTTAGTAGGTAATGGCTGCTGCTGCTGCTGCTGCTGCTCCTGCGGGGCTCTGGAGACGCGCTGGAGGAAGAGAGGGTGGCGGAGGGGGCGGGGAAGCCAGTGGCCGAAGGAGCTGCGCCCGGGGCCTTGCAGAGCTTCTTCCCCTCTTCGTTTCGGGGCTCCTCGCATCCCCTTCCTTCCCCGGGCTCGCTCTTTTTGCTCGGCGACGGGCACTCCGGCGCTCCTCTTCCTTGTTTTCTTTCTCCCAAACTCCCCCACCCTCCCCATTTCTCCACCTCCTTCCCGTTTGTTTGCCCCTCCGCTCCCCCCTCCTGCCTTCGCCTCCCTCACTCGCGCTGCCCCTTTCCCAGCAGCCAAACCAGCAACCCCCCCTCCTCCTCCCCCAGGGCTGGCCCCGCCCGCCCTCGCATTATCACAATAACACTCACTTATGGCACAATAACACCCAATATGGCATGAAGCCGCGCTCCCTCCCTCCCTCCCGCCCTGCCGTGTGTGTCGGCTCACAGCAGCCGCCGCCTCCCCCAACAGCCCGCCGCCCTTGCATCCTATCCTCCTCCCTCCTCCTCCGGCCGCAACAGCTAAAGGGCTGCTTTGTTTTGTTTGTTTTTTTCTCCGTCTCAGCTGCCCAGCCTTGGATCCGCCGCGGTTGGGCTGCTGCTCTGAACCTCAGCAACTCGGCGCCGCAAAGGAAGAGCCGTGAGGAGGGATTTGCTTTCCTGCGGCAAAACGGGCTCAAAAAAGTGCGAGCCCCGATTTGTGATTGCGCCGGTGTGGGCTAAAGAGAGCCTGTGTTGGTTGCGGGTGCTTTTGTCCTTTTTTTTTTTTCCATTGGAGGCGCCTGTTTTTGTTTTTTTCCCCTCCTCCCATTGCTTCCTCCTCCAGCTAGGACAACTGTTGAGGGTGTTCCTGCAAGGAAACCAGTTTTATTTGTGTTTGCACGCCTACGCCTTATTCTGAGCAACACTTTTAAGCTCTGCGTTGGTGCGGCTTATTTTTGTCTTTCTTGATTCCGAAAAGTCATACAAATTCTTAGGCTTGCTGCAGTTCGCTTAACTGAGGTATGCTCCTACTTAAGATGTTTGTTTTGAGTCTTCTCTTGTTCTCTCCCCCCCCATCCCCCAATACAGCCACTTCACTGACACGGATATAAATTTTTATCCCTGTTGCCATCTTCGATAGCTATACATGTATAAAAGGTTCCTGAATGTAAAAGTTTCTAAATCTAACTCGGCTGTTGTGTCAAAAGAAGCTTGCTTTTTTCCCTTCCTATCTGGCTGTGTGGTGAGAACAACAGGAGGCCTTGCTGGTCTCTTTGTCAGCTGTTCCTTTTTTGTGTTGTCAAATCATCTGGGTTCACCTCATTCTCACATGGCAAGGAAGTAGGCAGAGTCTCCTTGGCGATTGGAGGCTGCGAGGCACGTGACCAGATTTCAGGCTGCCTTTTTAAATTTAATTTTATTTTTTTCTTCCCCCTTTGGGCTGTCGGGATGGGTCTTGGGTTTCTGGCTCTTCTGGCGGAAGTGGCAGAAGTAACTCCTGCAGTGTTCTCTGGTGATTGGTGGGAAGATTCGTGGCACAGCTGCTCACGTGATGGAAAAGCTGTCGGGAGACAATTCTGCTTTTCTTTCCCTTTTTTTTTTAATTTCTCTAGCAGTTGATTTGGTTTGAAATGCCTGATCATTGTATTTCCACCAGTTTGCATTAGCTGGGTGAAAAAGACAGATTTTAACCATGCTCGATTCATTCAATAGTCCACTTTTGTAAAAACTGAACCTGTACTGTTTTATCTAGTAAAGCAGATGTTTGCTGTCCTAATATAGTAGAATTGCGTTAAAATTATTTGTTCAGATACTTTGTTTAAGGAATAACAATGTATACCGATCCCTAAACAATGCCCTCTAAAAGAGTAATTGGCCCAAGGTCACGATTTGGCTTTCATGCCTTAAGGAGGACTAGAATTTATCTTCTGGCTTCTAGACTTGAATGTTAATTACTATGTTGATGGTACTGTGTTTAATTGTCTGTGTTAATTATAAAGATATAGTCATTTTATAATTAAAATGTTGCATGAATCAAACACACACACAGATTTCTTAAGTCCATTCTCTTAGTGTATTAAAATATGTTTTTAAAAGAGTGCTTCTCTAAAATAACCCTAAGACATATCTTTCTTTGCTAATAAATATGTGTAAGTAGGAAAACCTCATGGTAATAAATAAATCTAACAAATCCAGACAAAGAATGATGAGGAGAGGTTTATATCCTGAAATACTCTGAAGGTGGTCAGTGAATTAAGCCTTAAGCATCTGAATTAACTGGGCTTTTCTATAGTATCAGGTCTTCATGCCTGATAGGATGTTTAATCATTATTTTAAATTGTCTGTATAGACTTTTGGAATGGGTGGGATTAATGTAAAATCACATTAATTTATAAAAATTACAAATGTATGTAAAATCCAGCTATATTAATGGTTGTGCTCATACTTTGGGCACAAGTAGCTTTGAACTGTTAATATCAATGCAGTGAATTTCCCCAATTGTCTCTATATGATTATATTGCATATATTTGTTCTGGAAAACACATAGTTACTTAAGCCTGAATTCTTTAACCAAAGTTATGCAAATTATGGAACAATAAATTGGCCCCTTTCATAATCTTTAAATTCAATTTTTTTGAATTAATAAAACCAGACAGAAATAAAATAGATATTTAGTATTTTTTTTCAATCTATAACCACTGTAATTTTAAAATATGAGAGATTTTATTTTTAGTTTGTTAAAGAATAGAACCATAGAGTTGGAAGGGGTCAGTTATACATTGAACCTCAATTTATAATAAGATAACCATGTGGCTGAAACATAAATTGAAAAGTGCTAATGGGCAAGTGATTTTCCTTTAAAACATCAGATCAATAATAATTTTATACATCATTCTACAAGAAAGAGTATGCTAGGTTTTTCCATATTCCTTGTTTTGTTGAAAATGGGTAAAAAAGAATGATAACAACATAGTATCATTTTTCATGTCTTTTCAGATTTTCACATCTCAAAACCAGAGTTCCTTCCCTAGTGGTTTGTTAAGTGAATATTCTTATTTTCTGAGCAAGGGGGTCAACTTTGCCATCTGGTCTCTTCGTAAAAGCTATTTATGAAATAGTCAGCTTTGAATCTAGATGGCAGTATTCATAAGACAATGGAATGTAGGCCACAAGCAGAAACATTGTAAAACATTTTGGAATAATATAATAGAGAATATTTTCTATAAATTGAGTTTTACATTCTCATCTGAAATACAATTATATAGCTAGATTACAACAGTATAAGGTAAAAGTAAAGATTCCCCTCGCACATGTGCTAGTCGTTCCCGACTTTAGGGGGCGGTGCTCATCTCCGTTTCAAAGCCAAAGAGCCAGCACTGTCTGAAGACGTCTCTGTGGCCATGTGGCCGGCATGACTAAATGCCAAAGGTGCACGGAACGCTGTTACCTTCCCACCAAATTTTTCTACTTGCATTTTTTATGTGCTTTCAAGCTGTTAGGTTGGCAGAAGCTGGGAGAAGTAACGGGAGCTCACCCCGTTATGCGGCACTAGGGATTTGAACCACTGAACTCTGGTGACCTTTCGATCGACAAGTTCAACATCTTAGCCATTGAGCCACCACATCCCTATACAACAATATATCCTGTAATAAATGTCTTCGAATTGCTGTATTTTTTGTTTTGTGCTCCCATATGATGATGGCTTTCAGTGATTGTTTTCAGATTTCAGCTTGATTTATCCTTTCAAGAATGATGTTTGCAATCTGAAACTAAGTTATATACTGTACTGTTTTCTAACATTTATTTTTGTATGCATATCTGTCTAAATAAGCCTCTTATATGCTTTGTAGACAGTGAGTTGTGTAATCTGACAGTTGCAGGTGGCTGCTTTTATCAAGTTCTTAGGAATTTAGTAGTAGCCTATGTAACAAATTGATATTGCTTTCAGTGAAGCAGTACGCTTAGTGACAGGTTGTCTCAAACCTACACCAATTGACAAAATATATCCTCTTGCTGGCATTGCCCCACCTAAGATCAGGAGAGAAGTCGCAGCAGATTCTGAGAGAACTAACAAGAGAATGATCCTCAAATCCTCTGAACAGATGGACATATGCCCCAAGCCCACTGACTTAGATCTAGGAACAGCTTTATGACAAAAACAAACATTCTTGAGGATACACAAAAACAAAATCAAATTAAAAGATGAAGGAAGGAGACCATTGAGCAAGGAATAACATTAAAGGAGGATATGACTGAAGGCTCTGACCTCCTATACTACTTGGAGAACCCTGAATTCATTTGAGAGAGTGCCTAAATGTAAAACCAATATGCTGAAGTGGAAGCTCTTCACAGATAACAGCACACTGTGTGAATGAGGAAAGATAAAGAGTCCGGTCCATCTGCTGATATGTCAGCTACTACCAAAAAGATGTACTGATAATGATTTATTTTTGGCCAATGATAAAGTCAAGAAGGTGGCTTCATTCTGGCAGTTTAAAGTTTCCTTCCTCCATATCCTTCCTCCTGGTCTCCTTCCTCCATCTTTTAATTCGATTTTGTTCTTGTGTATCCTCATGGAAAAATAAGAAGCAGCATATGTTCCAAGTATAGTAAATAGACTATTCTGGTCTATTTACCCAGATTTATCTCGGGCTACTTTCCAATTACGATCCTTCCAGTCAAAGGCTTGCAGTTTGATCTCACATAAGTGTAATATTGGTATACAGAATCATGAAAGTTCGTAGAGAGATTTAATAGTCTTGTACAATTACTTTCTAATACAACACTATAGACTGCTATAATTATCCATGACAACTTGTCTTTATTTAGAAATCCTAACCCTAAGATTTTGTTTCTGCAGCAAGCATCCTGTTCTTGTGTTCGTTTCATTTAAATCCATTGTTCTTTTATCTTTGGACAACAAAAGAATCTTCTGATATTTTAAAGTATCAATTATATTTTCTTTTCATATACACATAACTTAAAGCTTTTCATATAAGACTATATTTTTAAGTTGCTTATGTGTATTTTAATATGTAGAATCTATTAAATGCTCAAAATATTTTAATGATACATTTTGCAACTTTTAAAAGTGGTGCTGACAAGTTCTGCGGTCACTAGTTCCTAGGGTTGCACACTAACAGAAGCAAAGCTTAAAATTGGACCAATTTCAAATAGATTGTCTGAGATGAGATGGATAACTCAAACATACCCGGTTTAATTCAAAAACCTTGGTGAAGCTCTGGTACTGATTAAGGCAAAGATAAAGCAACATTACTAAAGCGAATTTCTAGGGATCCTCCCCCTTCAAAATTTGCTTACATAAAATATCTTGGTAGGAAGGGAATAGAGCAGAAATATTGGATTCTGGAATGTACAGAAACATACTGGATCAGATTACCCTTTGGGATCGTTTGCCTCGTTATTCAATCACAGCTTTTGGGAAAACTAGCAAAATGGAGTCCCTCAAGCAGTGATTGGGCAATAGAATCAGTTGAAGAGAGCAAGGGCAAGCAGGCCAGGGACAGGTCACAGGCAAATTGTTCCATGAAGAATTATTGGAGATTTTGTAATAATCCAGAAGTGATATGATTAAAGGGCCACTAAGAGTCAAAATAAAAACCACAGAATGAAATTACTATGATGGATCAAGCTGGGTTCAGAATAAGGATTGTGATCTAACTTGGAAGACCCCAAATAACATTGAAGCTAATGGCATGGAGAGAATGTGGGTTTATAGGAGAGGGACATCACTTTTCATTTTTGTAAAGAAACAACAAACCTGTTTCACCTACATGGAATTGTAGATTTACAGTGTCTTGTGGTACAGATGGGCAGCCGGCTATTCAAGAGGTAGAGGAAAAAGAATCTGGCTACATTTGTGCTCTTGATTATTTTCTAAAATAAATAATAGTAATGAAGAAGTGATTTTTCTTGCTTTCTTTTTGGTCTTTGAAAAGCAGCATAGGGAGATGGATTGTGTCAGCTATTTGCAAATCATCTGATTTTTGTCTCTTTTTGAATATGAGGGCAACTTCTAATAGATACTTTTGTATAGATATGGTAACAGAGAGTTGGATATGAAGGTGGAGATATCTGTTCATTTAAGTAGCCACAATTAATATTTATGAAAGTTATTACTAATATTTACATACTCTGTCAACATTTTAAAAATATAATTCTTGCAAGTATTTTGCTTTACTTTGACTTTTCAACATTAATACAATTTATTTCTCCTGTTTTTTAGGGTTCTAATAATTTTTAAAATGGGCCGCATCTTCTTGGATCATATTGGTGGTACTCGCCTATTCTCCTGTGCAAATTGTGACACAATTTTGACCAACCGTTCAGAGCTTATATCTACCCGTTTTACAGGAGCTACAGGACGAGCCTTTTTATTTAACAAGGTTAGTTAAAGACATCGAAAACTAGTTAGCACTGTGATTTCAGTATTCCTGCAATATATGGTTAGGTGAAGCAGAAATGTCCATTTAATAGTTCTAACGATGTGATAGTACCAGTCACTTAGGGTTCTTTTCAGATGTAAAATTTGTTACTATATAGATTTTTGTTAAATGTTAGAAAAAGTCAGCTTTCAATTACCGAAAATGTTGAAAATGTGAATGTAGCAAATGGGTAAAACAATGGAGATAAAATGGTAATTAATTTATGTTCTAACAAACTATAACTTATAGACCAAGTTCATTAATGTACTTATATTTGCCTAAGTAAAACAGATTGTAATATATGTAGGATTTGCTGGACATCGCTAGACTTTACTATGGTCTGAATTCTACCTCCTTAAAATGCATGGTTTGCTTAATTTTGAAGAGTACTTTGTCTCCAAAATAGAGAACATAATTAGGGGAAGAAAACATGCTGGAGGAATTGTTACCATAATAGTGTTTATCAACAGAGCAAAATTCCAACTAAAATTATTGTGCTGCTTGTATCTAGTAGTCAAGGAATGACATTAAAAGTTGAAAATCAACTTTTCCATATTGTAATGATCTAATGATTGCAAGTTGTCACTGCAAATATATTACATTTATATTACATTTGTATATATTATAAAATATAGTGTAGTGGGAAAGATGTCTGACTAGTAGGAAAATCCAGATTTTAGCTTCTTTGGCTATGGAAGCTCACTAACTTTCAGCCAGTAAATTTTGGCTGGGTGGGGAGGTGACAAAAGAGTGTTGCCTTGATCTCCTAAATGAAATACGGGATATAAATCAATCAATCAAATGCTTTTCTCCTTTTAACTTCCTTTAGGTAGTAAATCTGCAGTACAGTGAAGTTCAAGACCGAGTTATGCTCACTGGCCGTCATATGGTTCGTGATGTGAGCTGCAAAAACTGCAACAGCAAACTTGGGTGGATATATGAATTTGCCACCGAAGACAGCCAGCGCTACAAGGAAGGCCGCGTTATCCTGGAAAGAGCTTTAGTCCGAGAAAGCGAGGGTTTTGAGGAGCATGTTCCGTCTGATAACTCCTGAATGGAAATCTCTTCGTCTTCAGGCTTTCTTTGTTGAAACTTAAAAAAAGAAAAATCAACAAAAAAACCCAACCCTTACTTACATACGCTGTCACCTTAGCATCTGCGTTGGATTCATGAACTACAAAGAGAGGGAAAAAGGGAACTACAGAGAGGGAAGGAGAATTCCATGTGGAATGTTCCTTTTTCTTTATTATTTTTCTTTTTTTTAAATCCTTTTCTCGTTATTCATAGAGAACGTTATCTGGATGCTGTAACACTTTTTCAGTCTCAGCTATGTAAGCATTTGAAGCTACAAATCATCTAAAAGGAATTTGGAAATTTCTTTTATTAGAGAAATCAGTTGTATTTTAGTTTGTAAAGCCTGTAACATCATAAGGAAATTTTAGTCTAGCTATGCCTTTTAATTTATTTCTATTTTGTCCTCAGTTTTTATTTCATTTTTAGCCAGATTTTCCACCTTACTTGACTGGCTGACGAAGAGGTTCTGACCTTGTGAAGAATGCTGAAAAGGTTTCAGTGTTTTGTCCAGTTTGTGCTGGCCGCTGATTCATATTCTTGTTGGGGTTCATTGGTAGAATGGAATCTATCCTTGTCTTTCGTTGTGTAACCCAAAGTTGTTCTCATTCCTCATTTACCTAAGCAACACTTTTACCATGTGGCTGATGTTCTACTACTTGTTTAAGCAAATAGGACAAAAGTATGTCTCTATTTTTCCAAACGTAACTTAAAATATTGAGAAATGACACTATTGCATTGGTTCAAAAGTATGTTGATAATTATGGGGATTGAGCAGTTATCTTACTCCTTTTCCTTCTTAGTTGATCTTAAATAGAAACTTACTCTTAACCTTGGAGTTTATTCCCTTTTTTCTCTTAACCTTTAGTTCTGCATTAAAACCTGGCTAGGAAGAAAAAGGGCACGTATACATTCAGGCATTTAATCCATGCCTGTTTAAATAGCTTACAATTTGTCTTCAGATGCTGCTTCTGATGTCAAAGCTTAGATGCATCTTATCTTTGTGATGCTGGGCCTTTACTGCTTTTACCAGCATAGGAAGCTCATTAGGCTGTACCTTGTAAGTGAATGATCTGGTGCTTCCTTTAGCAAGTTATTTGTGTTGCAGTACTGATTCTTCATCAAAGCAAATATTTCTATATACTCTCCTTAGTCACGGGTGTCCAAATGTTGCTGCTGGCATGGCCTTCCCTCAGTAGCATGTTTTTGGAAATCCAAGAGCTGAATCTTATAGGACTAATCACAATTTTGTACTCTTCTTGTCAGTACTAAATAGTTCATATATAAGGACATACATGACGTGCTTTACTGCAATAGATTCCTAAGCACTCGTTAAGTTCTACCATTGAGCAAAGAATACAAAAGAGTATTCCTATAGTTCAGGGATGTCAAACTCATGTCATCACGGTATCATCACATATCAGGACTTCCCCCCCCCCCTTTGCTAAACAGGCATGGCCAGCGTGTGACACATCCAGCCCGGGGCCAGGAGTTTGACATCCCTGCTATAGTTGGTGAGATATTGGTAATAACTTTAATCATCCTAACAACACTGATAGTGGCTGGGATAGGAAGTGATACCATTGCAAGTGTCTTTAGGAATTATGTTCTCTAAATATGTCTCTTATACATAAGTAGCAGGCTGAAGAGGGATGGGATTGTGGTTATATTTTTTGCACTCCAGAGGTGGCACTTTGCCATCCCTCTTAGTTTGATCTTTTAAAAATTTATATTACGCAATTTAGAAGGACAAGATGTACTGGTAGATGTGTATGCTGCAGCTAGGTTCAATAAGAATACTTAAAATAGTGTAGTGAATAGTCTTTAATATTGATTTCAGTATATCTCCTTTATTTTACTACTCTGGTGATCTGTCATTGGCATGGTCTTTGATGTACTCTTCATGTGTTTTGATGTTGCAGTACAATAAAGTATGTTTTGTCCTGCCTGGTCTCTAATTACATTGTTCACATTACAAATATTACAAGTGGGCCTTTGAATAATGCCAATAATTTTAGTTAATAATGAATATACATAGTTGAAATAATTTGTTATTAAATCAATTAAATTTGTTACTAAATCAATTAAACAATAATTAATTGAAAATAAAGATATAAACTGCCCAGTACTGTTTTGTAACATTCAGATAATAACATCCAGTGGAGAATTATGTTTCAATCTACATACCGTGTTTTCCCGAAAATAAGACATCTTCGGATAATAAGCCCAGTCGGGCTTTTCAGTGCATCTGATAATATAAGCCACCCACGCAAAATAAGCCACCCCCCCCATCAACTACTTACACGCATGCACAGCCATCCCGTCATTTCCCCTGGTTGCTTGCCACGCAAATAAAATGAGGTGAGGCTGGGGGAGGGGGAAATGGGGGACATGCCCTCCCCTCCCTGTTCTTCGCACCAGCTGAGCAGCCGAACATGTCCCACCCCACCCCAATGGCAACAGCAGCCTGGCTGCTTCCCTTCCCCGCCGTCTCTTTATCGAGAGTGGTGGCAGGTGGGGTGGGGGAGAAGCAAGATGCATGGAGTGAGACGTGGCTCTCCTTGCTGTGTCTTCTCCCTACTCCTTGCTGGGCATAGCAGGGCTCCTGCCCCTTGCTTAGCCACCCACCCCCTTAAGGGATGCAATTTGGGGGTGGCATGTGGGGTCGGTGAGAAGCGGGATGCAGGTCTTACCTTTCAAGCTCCATTGCTTTCTTCACAGTTGTGTCCAGGGAAACACGCTGTAAAAGAAAACCTTGCGAGTTCGAGAAGCTTGACATGCCTGGCAAGGGGAGGGAGAAGAGATGGCAAGGGGAGCTGTGTCTCGCTTCTCCCCTGCCCCGCCTGCCATCCCTCTCGATAAAGAGACGGGGAAGGGAAGCAGCTGTTGCCATTGGGGTGGGGTGGGATATGTTGGGCCACTCAGCTGGCACAAAGAACAGGGAGGCGAGGCGATGGCAGCGACGGGACATCCAGTCCCACGCTCGCTGCCTCCTGCACCCCTAAAATAATAAGACCTCCCAATAATAAGGCCAAGTCCTTATTTGGGGGGAGGGCAAAAGAAAATAAGACCCTGTCTTATTTTTGGGGAAACCTGGTAATACTTAAAGAAGTACATTCCATGCCCGAATACTTGAATTTGAAAAATATTTACCTGCAAGCATATCCTATCCTAGTTATTTGTATTGTTTTTAAACTGAAAGTGTTATAAACATTTATGCTATCCTACATAGTTTTGGAACAGAAATCTAGAATCCATATAGAATGAATATGCAGGTTCAATGTGTAACAACAAATAATGTATATTTTATTATTACCTCTTTGCACTACTACATAGGTGCACTTTTTTTGTAAATATATGTTGTGAGTTTAGAATTAAGGGATCCTAATTCAAGTACAGTAAGGGAAGAGATTCATTTGTATTCAATTAGTACATGAGAACCAGATGATAATTTCTGAAATGAGCACACCTCTAGTTTCCATTTTATATTTCTTAAAATCGGTCAAAGTATTTTAAGTTGGTTTTGACTTGCTACAGTAGTATTTTTATAATGCTAACATGTTAAAATGAATAATAATCTCAAGAGTTAAAATATGTTCTATTTGTAATATTATTAATTCACAAATGTAAAATTCTATTGTGATCATTGCGTTATGTGGTTGCCCCTTCCAAAATTACTATTTTAGGCTGCATCAAAAAATAGTGTCAAGATTAAGAATTGTTGCTTCTATTCTCTATTAGACAGTACATAGAAAATTGCCTCCAATTTTGGGCTCTCATTTCAGGTGATTGAAAAACTAGTACATATCCAGAAAAGATCAACCAAGGTGATACCAGGCCTACAAGGTAGAATCTATGAGAATCCAATGGAAAAATTTAATCTGTTTCTGGAGAAAAAATTATTGTGAGGCATGATAGTACTCTTCAAATATGCAAAAATTATTCCACAAGACAATGAGCTTAATTTTACAAGGAAGAAAGATTTTGGTTGGACTTTCAAAAAAAATGTAACAAGATTTCAACAATGGAACAATCTGCTTTAAGGGATGAGGGACTTCTTATGTTTGTAGGTATAAACAGAAAAGAAATGGGTTCTTGTCAGGATTGCTGAAATAGGTACTTGGACTGGGAATTGGTTGGACTAACTGATCTCCAGTGGTTCTCGAAACACATGATTATAAGTAGGTTTTCTAAAGGCAAATAATTATTCTACTCAATTATGACTGCTCAGACATCATCTTGAGGGCTAAGTCCAGTTCTGGGATCCATGCTTTAAGATGGAGCTGGTTCAGAGAAGGGCACAAAGATGATTAAGGGACAAAAAATTAAAGGCATATTAAAACAGCAGAATATATTAAATTTGAGAAAGAATGGGTGGTGTGATATAACTTTAGAAAGAGAGGACACACATTTAAGAGTGTAGAATACAAAATAATAGAAGCAAAATTTGACAGCGTAGGTTAAGAATGGACCCAATTATCCAAAGAGACGGCAAGTTCTCTTGGATCTTTTTAGGTGGAAGCTCCATAACCATCTGTCTGGAATGCTTTAATTCTTATAATGAGCAAATGATTAAACTGGCCTTTATTTTTTTTTACAAATAAGGTGGCAAACATCCAACACACCTTCCTATTTTCCCCACAACACTCTGTGAGGTGAGCTGTGACAGAGAATGACTGGCCCAAAGTCACCCAGCTGGCTTTTATACCAAAGGCAGGACTAGAACTCACAGTCTAAATGACTCCTTAAGATTTTGTAAAGTGGAGACATTGGTACTCTCTCAGTTTGGTATTTGCTGGCAGACATTTTAACAAGCAAGCTTAGAACCCTGAGCTATGTATATTTCCTTCTGTTGAAACTTAATAATTCAAAGAGAACAGCGCTGATTGCTAGAGTTAATTTATCTATTCACACTTGTCACCTTTCTGAACAATCTTGACAGTATTCAATGGGGGGGAAATGAAGCAACAATTTTAGCAATCTACATACAGGTTATTCATTTCCTGGTCTGGAAAACTGGTTTAAAGTAAGATTACTGGAAGGGTTGTGGAAGCCTAATTATACTCCCCTAGCAATTATGTGCAAGATTGTTGGTTTCTTATTGCTATTGTCAACAGGAAATCAGCAATACTTAATTTTTCAGAGGAACAAGGTTTCTTTCAATACACCTATGTAGATTGTTGATTCCTTGCTGCTGATGGAAGAAATATCCATCTGGTTCAGTTCCAATCCCGGAGAAAGACACTGGAAACATGGAGGTTGATTGGAAGGATGGTTTAATGATGAACAGAACCACATGGGTTTGTGGTCCTGGGCAGCTGACTACATGGAGTTGAGAGTGGGTTTTTTTTAATACCTTCTCTTGGACTATGCACTTGAGCTTCTTGTTCCTATACAAGAATATGTATTCTATTGGCTATTGTCAGACTTCCATGAGGCCATGTAGGGGTCATAGCTGGCTCTATAGGTTGTCTGAACTCCCAGGTTTGGTTGAAGTTTGGAGGGTGATGTAATGTCCTTAGGAGGTTGTGCAATGTAGTGAGCTCTGCTGCTACATGGTAGTGGGTTAATCCAGTGGTCAAATCCAAATTTTTTTACTACCAGTTCTGTGGGTATGGCTTGATGGGCGTGGCTTGGTGGGCATGGCTTGGTGGGCGTGGCAGGAGAAGGATACTACAAAATCTCCATTCCCACCCCACTCCAGGGGAAGGATACTGCAAAATCCCCATTCCCTCCCCACTCCTGGGGGAAGGATATTGCAAAATATCCATTCCCACCCTACTCTGGGGCCAGCCAGAGGTGGTATTTGCTGGTTCTCGAACTACTCAAAATTTCCGCTACTGGTTCTCCAGAACCTGTCAGAACATGCTGCATTTCACCCCTGGGTTAGTCCTATTATGTCCTGAAGGGTCATGTCCTAATCCCATCATTCTGGATCTGAAGGTCTTTTGTTTTGTAGATAGGATGGCCCAGTCTTTCTTAATGGGCACAAAATATCTGCTGGGGGCAGGGAACTGAGGCTCTGAGTCTCTGTCTCCCTAAATAGTTGTATTTCTCTTTTAGGAGAAATATTTTATCCTGCCTTGTTTAATATTTCTCAAAATATTTCATTCTTCTATCTAGGAGGTGGGTGGCTTCCCACACTGCCAATAATAGCAGATACAGGTGACTGCTTGCCCATCTACTAGCTCATCGTGCTGCGTAATTGGACAATTAAAAAAATTGTCAGTTCCATGCAACTCAAACATCCTGTTCATACAATATCTGTGCTTAAAACTTTTTCAGCATATTAAAAGTTGTGTGCCTAAAACCTAGTACAGTGATGGTGAACCTTTTTGGCACCAAGTGCCCAAACTGGAACATGTGTGCATGTGTGTGAATGTGCCTGCGCCGGAGCGCCAGAAACCCAAAGACCAGCGCACTGGCCAGTTGGTCTTCGGGTTTCTGGCACACGCATGGTGCTGGCCAGCTGGTGGCATGCGACAGAGTACCGGAAACCCAGAGACCAGTTGGCCTGCACACGCATGCCTGTTTTTGGCCATTTTCAGGCCGTTTTCTAGCACTCTAGCGCCCGTGAAGACCAGCTGGTCGGTGAGCATATGCACATTCATGCCGGAAACCAGAAGAGCAGCTGGTGATGGCACGTGAACCCACAGAGAGGGCTCTGCGTGCCACCTCTGGCACCCATGCCATAGGTTCACTATCACGGACCTAGTATGTTTGCCATTTCTGGGGAAGGGGGAAAATCATTTGTACTGTCTTACTTATGTATTTGCTACTTTTGGGTTTTCTAAGTCTTTTTGTATCTTTGTCACTGAATGTTATTAGAGCTTTGGTCCTATTAATATATGAACAGAATCTGTGTGGAAGAAGTATCATCAATATTATTTCATTTATTTCATAATATAACATGATATGATATGCCAGTATGAAAAATTGCCAATACAATTAAAGAAGGCCAATTGTGAAAGTATTTAATTAAACAATCAAATTTAACTGTAGCCATCTTTGTCCTATATAAGAACCATAAAATTTGGCTCCCCTTGTTAGAGTGAAATTATTATTGTACATATTTTAGATATATATAAGAAATATCTACCGTAAATAGTCTCTTAACATAATCTTTCATGTCCTTAATGATTATCAGAATGGGAATAACATTTTTTTTTTTAAAAAAATTGATTTATATGCCACCCTTCTCTGAAGACTCAGGGCGGTTTACAATGCGTTAAGCAATAGCCTTCATACTTTTGTATATTTATGCAAAGTCAGCTTATTGCCCCCAGAATCTGGGTCCTCATTTTATCTACCTTAGAAAGGATGCAAGGCTGAGTCAACCTTGAACCTGGTGAGATTTGAACTTGCAGTAATTGCAGGCAGCTGATGTTAATAACAGGGGAATAACATTTTTATTATTGGAATCCACAATCTTCTTTGTCATTTTTAGATGACCCAACACTTTTTAAAAAATTAGGGAGATTGCTATGAAGATAATCAGCAGAAATAGTCTGGTCTTTTCTAATTCTGCTATGTAGAGCTAACTGGATAATTTAAGATTTGCAATAGAATAGGATATGTGTTTCTCCTTATTTATGAAATGTGTATTTGATAGATTTCACTATGGATGTAGGCCTCTTCTGGCATTAGCAGTGAACATTATGTTATTTTCTATAATTTAAAATTCCTGACTCATCCATTTATGTATTGTTACCATGAGATAGAGAACTCCAACTGCTCTAAAGTAATATTAAGCATCATAATATATATTTAAATACATTGGAAAATACAGTAATAAGTGCTTAGGACATCTGCTTATGAAGTTTCTTTCAGTTGCTGTTAATTATTTGGTATTGTGGATGATCAGAAGATTAGTTTGAACGGTTTGAAAGAATACTCAAATTTGATTTGAGATTTGTATATACAAAATACCAATTCAGACTTCTGGTCTATTGGCCTAGAGTTATCTAAATTAGCAGAATCATATAAAATAATCTCTGTTACAAGAGATCACAAGGAATCTACCTCATAAATTTTATTTCCTACTCTAAGTAGTCAGGCTCCTTGTAAATTTCCAAACAGCTACTGGGAACCTGGTTTTCTATGAAAAGGAATAAAATAAGAAAACAATTCAATAGAATTATATTTCTCAAATTTTCACAAATAGTTGTGTAGTGGCAGTCAGAATTCTATTTGTGCTGGAACACAAACTTGCAAAGGGGTTTATTCTAATATACCCCTTCCACAGCACAAATGGGCTCGTGACAGCCAACCAACAATGCCCTCTTGTTTCATTAAATGCATTTTGCTGCCTCTGAGCCCATTATAGGAACAGAATATAATGTGCCATGGGATCATTTTGAATTGTAAAACAAGATCCAGGAACATCTAGTATATTGACATATGATCTCGTCATCATTCTCTCCCTGTTCTAGCCTTGGATATGAGAAGCAAGAGTTGGTAAAGTATAAGGAAAACTCTAGGGCATGTATCTACTTTGATACTTTTTGGGTTTCTAGTTTAGAAGATGACTTTTCAGACTGAAGATTTTTGAGTTTGTCAATACCTTGCATGAATTGGAGAATCCATTCTTCTTTCCACCATGTATTCTAGATATTTGGTGTTAGAAACAAATGAATTCATACTCAGCTAGAGATATCATATTTGGTTATAGGAGTCTAGATAAACATTAAGTTGCAGCAAAGAGCTACCATATAGAAAACTCTTGTAATGTTACACAAGGAAACATGTGGACAAACCTTAGACAATAAAAAAAATTGAGTAAAAGGAGGATTATAGTGGAAATAGGAATAAGGGAAAAAATAGGCAGGATTAGTTGAAAACAGCTATTCTTTTCTTTGATTGTAAAGTATCACCAATGCAGCAGACATAAACTAAGCAAACTCTGGCAGATGGTGGAGGACAGGGTGAGGCGCTGTGTTGTGGTCCATGAAGAGTCCATGAAGAGTCAGACACAACTTTGTGACCGAATAACAGCAAAAATTCTTCTTCTTCTTCTTCTTCTTCTTCTTCTTCTTCTTCTTCTTCTTTCTTCTTCTTCTTCTTCTTCTTCTTCTTCTTTCTTCTTCTTTATTATTATTATTATTATTATTATTATTATTATTATTATTATTATTACTACTACTACTAAAGCAGTGGAACATAGTCCATAATGCACAGAATAGTCTATTTAAAGAAGAATGAAAACCATGTTAATAAAAGGAAGACACTCTTGGATAGTTGAATTTACTGAGTTTGGCATGCTGTATTTTACACTACATCATAAAAACAGAGAAAAACCTACGTGATTTCTATAAATTGGCTTATTATGTTTCTTTTACAGTTGATGCCACTCACTTTAATTAGCTTAGTACTTTGCAGGAGGCATATTTTGTGAGCAGACTTTCCTACTTGCATTAAGGGTTTTCCAAATTATTTTCTCATCTGCATCATCATTGTGACACTGCTTTGCAAAACATGAGTGTCTCCTTTCCACTGATGGAGAGTAACAGCATTGTATACATCTAATAGACAATGTGTTTCAGAAATGCCTGAAAAACTGGCTGTTACTACATAAAAATGTGGTCATGTATACTTTATGGTGAAGATTTTTATGTTGGGTATTAAAGTATTGTAGTTTATAATATCATACAATTAAAGTAAGCTTCTTTCAGTGCTTATATAACATTGAGAAAAGAGGAGGAAAGGAGTAACTATAAAGAGTAACTAAAATATTTTATATAATTCCAAATTTCAATTTCAAGTTATAGATGAGAAAAATGAGGAATGCTCTGATTCTGTTCTTTTCCCCCCAGACATTAAACCAGTTTCTTTTTTTCTATATTTATATTCAATGGTTAGTCTTCAAACTTACTTTGGATTTGTCTTATTTCCATGCAAAAGTTCCCTTCTTGTATATAATAAACCCGTATAATCTAGCAGAAATGAGCAACTTTCTAAGTTAGTGCTCACTTAAAAGAAAAGAAAAGGAGCTCTTGGGGTCTTCAAGGAGTGTGTGTGTGTTTTCAGTGGTGTAGTGGTGGCAAAAGAGGGTAAGGCAGAAACACTTTTTGGCAGCCTTTAGAGGTACAAAATAAGCACCCCAATTCTACACTTTGAAGAAAAGAAAGGAATCAGAAATCATGGCACAAAAATCAGTGATTTCGCCACCAAATTTTGGTTGTGCAAACTAGGGGCATTTGAGGGCCAATAGAATGACTGCTGGAAAACCTGCCCTGGCTCTAGAGCAGGGATCCCCAACCTTGGTAACTTTAAGATTTGTTGTCTTCAACTTCCAGAATTCCTCAGCCAGCAAAGCAAAGCTGGCTGAGGAATTCTGGAAGTTGAAGTCCACAAGTCTTAAAGTTGCCAAGGTTGGAGACCCCTGCTCTAGTGGCAAAAATATGGGTTTCCACCATTCTAAGGCAGAAAATACACAAAGTATGGACTAACCTGTAAAGTAGGTTAATTTAAAAATGAAACAATGAGAAACTCCTCCCTTCCAAATCCAGGAAGATCCAGAATGTTAGCCTTGCTTAATAGCATTACTTTGCATCTTACCCCCTATACATCGCATCACAAAAATCTTAATTTTACCGGCTACCTGTGTAACCTACTTTTTAAAGATTTGCACATCCAATTTCCCAGAACAGCAGAATTTTCTCAGACCCACAGCTATTGTAGCCAGGTGTATGCAAGCTTGTGCTGGAGGGCTATTATTCAATAACCTGTCAGGCTAAGATGGAAGTTTATATTTCAGTTCACTAGGTTGCATCATAAAGAGACCAAATTATCATGGACATTATTTAAGGAGCATCTCATCTAAAAAAAAAAAAAAAAAAAGGATTTTCACTCAGGTCAAACAATGGTTTTCATTTCAAAGGGAATCATAATCTTCTCTAAACAGATCCCTCTAATCAGATTTCTTTATGGTCTTTTTTTAAAACCAAAATTATTGGCATTCGAATCTGGTAGAGAGCTGATTTCACACGCTGCCTGCTTGCATATCAATGGTTAACTGAGCTGGCGTGATTGTGCTTACCTCAACAAAATCACCGCAGTGAGAAAGAGAAAGCAGTGAATGGGTGGAGATGAGCAGCCCCGTCAGAGAAGAGCTATGCATTCTGGCTGGTGCAGTCCAGAGCAAACTGCTGCAATGAGAGCCTGAAGGTGCAGCAGCCTCTGGAGCCTGCATTGAAATTGAAAGCCAACCTTCCGTTGCGCAGAGAATTATTATAATTACTGCTGCTACTGTTGTGCTTATTCATTTTTGCACAAAAGAGACTCAAAATATGGCCAGTGGTAATGTATCCAGTTTACAGGATGCCCAGAGCAGGCATTGCAAGTTTCTATCTTATATGTTCTACCAGGCTGTCCGAGATCACAAACCTGTGTGGTTGTTAGAGGACATGAGGACTATGGAATATTTCTACTGGGAGGAGAGTGCTAACATGAGGACATATTCCCCTTCAGAAGCACTGCTGTATGCTGTGGTGCACAATCACCTGCCTTATGCCCAGTATCTGCTGTCTCATTTTCCAGAAGAGGCTCTCAAAGTTCCTGGAGAGCATTTTTGCTATTGCCCATCCTCTGCTCCTCATTTAGCAATGGCTGTAACCTATGACAGGAGGGACATCCTGGGGCTGATCATCAGCATCGCACACAAGCTGCCTAGCCTGAACTCTTACATCAATAGGACTGGCTGTTTTCATCTTGAAGATGGCAAGACCCCTCTGCATCTCGCCTGTGAGCTCCTGAGATCAGAGACCATTCTCATCTTGCTAGGAAATGGAGCTTCTCCTAGAATAGAAGACAACAAAGGGCTCACTCCACTGGATGTCATCCTGGAACAGATGTGGGATTCCAAAGTCAACGTAGCTTCCAAAAACCTCTGCCTTGACTACCTCTTGCTCTTCATGCCTAGCCCCCGCTTTAAGATGCAGAAGGTCTTGCGGGAACATCCTGAACCCTGGACGGTGCTGCTTGGAGAAGACAAGTTCAATAGCCTGGCGGGGAACACGCCTGCATCCTTATACCTGCAAGCTATGCAAACCATCCTCCAGATTCTCCCACCCTCTCATTTCCCTAAAAGCATCCAGGAACTACCTATACCTCAGGCACTAAAGCCCCTGCCTTGCATGGGGAAGCAGCATCTGGCAAAAATCGGGGTAAAGAATTTTCCATGATCTACTCTTTTTTCTTTTTCTTTTTTCAGGGTTAAAGTCAAAAATGAGTGATCAGGTAGGATTTTCAATGATGTGAGAGGTTGCAAACCAAGCCCTGGTATAATTTTATTTATGTTAAAAAAATTACTTTTGGGTCAGTTGTAAGGATTGCTGCCTGTGATTTTTTTTAAATTTAGACATGTATTTATCCCTGGTACCACTGAAAATCCTGGTAATATGATTTGTTAAATGCTATTGCTGTTGTTCTTGTTATTTCAATGGACTGCAAGCATTGGACTTTTGAAAGTAAGAAAATCTATATTGTTTTATGCATGTGAAAGATTAAATTACCTGAGCTGTTTCCCTTTTGTGTTTTGCCTACTGAATAATAATGTCACTTGCTAAGAGTTAGACAAATTATCCCGGTTTTAAAAAGGCAAGGTAACCATTGGGTGTTATGTGGATTCGGACTCTTGTATGATACGCTGGTAAATCTAACCATGCTGTGATTTAATTCTCCTGTGGGAGGATCCCAGGTTTCATGTTCTCCCATGTCATTTCCCCCAAGGAACATGTGGGACTGAGCCAAGGATTCGTCTATTGCCTTATAAACCAGCAGTTATCATTTTAACAAGGAAAACAGCAGTCCTCAATCTGCAGTGATAAGGAATCCCTTTGCTGCAGGTTACAATTGTTATTGTAGTGAAATCTTGGACTGTTAACTAAAAAATTGGTTGGAATCTTTATTTTGGAAAGGCTGAGAGGGTTTAGGAACAGATAAGAGTTGGAATGTCTGCTGGAAGCTGTGTGTTGTGGTAGGCCCACTGTCGTTTATCAGGAGTGGAGACTGCAAGTCACAGTGATTTTTTTCCCACTATGGAAGTCCCTCTCAGGAACCAAACTATGTTTGGTTGTTTCATTACATTAAAGCAATGCATAACCTAACTCTGCTCTTTTTGGGGGGGTGGGGGAGGAGAGGGTCAGATGTAATTCCCTGCTAATCAATTTAAATTGCTCAACCTTCAGGAAAAATCTGCTCGAATCTTTATGCTGCATTGTGCTCCAGCTGTGCTAATCAAGGAATGATTGGCAAGTGAAGCTTTGGGAATGAGGCTTTATTACAATGAAACACATGTTTGCCTAAATATCTTCCTCCCCTCTCTACATTATTCTCATTCCAGTTTATTGCTTTAGTCACTGAAGCGCCATAGTTAAGAACTGTTCTTCATACTGATCCACTCTCTCAGTATGTATTAGTTTTGCAAGTATAGGCCTGGAAAGTGTTTCTTAACCTCAGCAACTTTAAGATGGGTGGGCTACAACTTTCAGAATTTCCCTAACCCTAACTCTGGCTGGAGAATTCTAGAAGTTGAAGTCCATCCATCTGAAAGTTGCTGAGGCTAGAATAATCCTGGTTTGCTGACATGATTTTTGTCATCCCAAAGAATTATAACTTTTTAAAGCTAGTGAGATGTTCACATTTTAGATTGGCCACATGTCTTCCTTTGCAGAAGTCTGTCCTCCTTTTAAAAGGCTCCCCAAAACATAGACTTCTGAAGTTCTCTCAGTTCCAGATCCATTTAGAAGAGAGAGAACTAGAGGGCTGATCTAAAAAGAGTCCACTCTGTTAGGCATACTGTCCCATTGATATTTTGATTACCAAGATGATAATGCTAATTTAAAACAATTATTTAAAATATTCTACTGCTTACCAATGGTTGCTATTTCTTTCTCTTTCTTTCTCTCTTTCTCTCTCACACACACACAAACACACAAACACACACACATACACAGAGAGACTGAATTTGGAATAATTCTACCCTACAATAAAAAGTACAGAGGTATCAAACTCGCAGCCCATCACACGCTGGCCCAACCCATCCCTGTTTTAGCAAAGGGGGAAAAAGTGGTGATATGTCACATGATGACAACGTGTCATTGTGAGTTTGACACCCCTGCCCAGTACATCAAGATTCCCAAGGTGGTGGCACAGGAGTTAGAATGCTGTATTGCAGGCTAATTCTGCCTACTGCCAGCAGTTCAATTCTCACCGGCTCAAGGTGGACTCAGCCTTCCATCCTTCCAAGATTGGTAAAATGAGGACCCAGATTGTTCGGGGTAATATGATGATTCTGTAAATTGCTTAGAGCTGCCTGAAAAGCACTATGAAGCAGTATATAAAGTCAAAGCCTTTATTGTCATTGTATATCATATACACAATGAAATTGGTTTAGCCTCTACTGGTGCAGTTCATACAAGACAACATGAATAATAGAAAGGATAATCCTTATACAAGTAGTTAGGGAAAAAACTAGTCATAGGTTTCCATATGTAGAACATATTCTGTGCAACATGTATATTACTCAGGTGTATAATCTTATATTATGGTGTATACATATTACACACTACACTGGCACCAGTGAAATTTGTGGTGCTATATAAGTCTAAGTGCTATTGCTATAGGAGTTTTTAGCTTTAATTTAAAGATTTTTTGCCCCAAAGCCATTACAGCACAAGACTTAAAGAGTCAGCCAACCACCCACCATCCATACATGCATACATGCATACATGCATACTCACATTGGAATAAAACAGTGTAAAGTTACATGTGCAGATTTTTGAGAACATTTCAATGCTAAAACTTGACATTGTATCATATCTCTCAGAGACATCAGATCTTAGTCAATATTTCTAAGTAAGTCATCAAAATTCTGTTTAATATATTGTTTCCAAATTGAAAGGGACATTTCTATATTTTTTGCAGAACCAATGCCAGGTCATACTGTAGGGTCTCCCCTAAGCAGCACACTCTGCCACATTGGAAATTTGCCCTTGATCTGGAATATTTTCCTTTCCTGCAAGAAGAAAATAATGAACAAAAAGGCTTCTGCAAAATCCTGCTCAAAAATCCTGCATAGATTTCATCAACATCTCCAGCCAAAGATCATACTTACCTTCAAAGTCAGGGAAAACACAAAACAAGGAAGCTTTCTTTTATTTTCTTTTTTATGTTTATGGAACAACAAAGTGATTGCTGGCATTGGTCTTTTGCCAGTGCCAAGGAAGACTTTGGCTGCTGATAATTCCAGGGGGAAAAGGCTGAACCTGATGTTCATATACTTCCCAACCAATGTTAGCAGAGAAAAGACAGAACAAGAGTACAGGAAAATGACTAACTCCAGACTGTGCAGTGGACTGACAAAATTCACCCAATTTAATAGTCCCATTAATCCAAACTTCAGAACATTCCAAATACAAAAGGATCAGTCAAGGGGCTGTTCAATGTCCTGGATGACTTTTAAGGATTGTTGCCTGGGAAATCTGGAGGAAAGATCAATGTCAGAGGAGTGAAATAGAAAATTGTACATTAAAAAGACTCAGGGAGGGGAAAGTGTGTCTCCATGTATGTATGTGCAAATTACATCAAGCACTTAATGGGCAGCAGTCTGTGGTAGCTACAGTCATAATAGACATGGGTAGTTTGTGCTGATCAATTATCAGTATTTTTTACTGCCTAGAGTTGCTAAATTTAACCAGTCTGGCATTAGAAGACAACATATTGCTGATTATACTACAGAACTGCAATCATTATTTGAGAGATGATGGCAATGCAGGAAGGGAGATGAGCCATTCAACAGTGAGCCACTCATCATCCAAAAGAGGCCCCTACCAATTCTGAATTTGTCACAAGAACCCCACAAAAACTCAGGCTAGCCAATCTGCACATTTCTTATTTTAATGTTATTCAAGAAGGAATTTCTCCACAATAATCCATACTAATGGCTATTGCAAAGCCATCTGGGAACTTTTGGATGGGGTCGCCAATTTATGAGAAAAATACAATTTCCTGTTCATATCAATTTAATACACCTTGATGGGCAGAAATTAGCAAGTGAAGTTTTTGAGCCATACAGAGGTAAACATTATTATAAGTGTGCACTCCTATTTCAGAAATTGAAAAATTGGAGAGGTTGTATTGTTCACCACTGGATGGATTCCACACTTACCTGGATCCATAAGAGGATTCATGTGTTGTGAGAATATAAAAAAAGTAGTCACTTGATCCAGTGAACTAATCCACAGGGGGTTAAATAAATTCAATGCTGAGCTGATTCAAACATATAAAGGATTAAAATAATGATATTCAGTGAGTCATGTTGTGGAAACATCCAACCCCATGACATGATATATTTTGTGTACGTAATTTTCCAGGAAAAAGAGCTGGAGAGAAAGAACAGTTCAAAAAGCAAGGTTATTTATTTCTAAATTTCTTGCATTTCTTAAATCCTTGATGCAATGGCCAAGATGCGTCAACTGGCTTCACAATGAAAAAGATGCTAGTAATGGTGTGAAGGCTTGCCAGTAGAGTCTTGATACCAGAGCTCAAGGGATACTGGACACTTTCTGAAAAAATGAATGGGAATTCTAGGTTTCCCAAAATGTGATTTTGGGTTCAGGAGGATTGCTTGGGTTAGTGTCACAGGAAGCAACCAGATCTTCTTATGCAGGGTCCAAGTCAATAACTTTATTGTGTTGTACCTATAATAGAAGAATCTCCCCAGAATGCTTGTCTTCTCTTGGGAACAAACAGGTAAAGTTTTATGGGATTTGTGGGGGAGGGGGGGTGTCAAGTGTATGCCTCTTGCAGCTGCGCAAGGACTCCAGGCTAGTTCCCAACTTGATCCCTCCTGCTTGGCTGGCTGAGAGTTTACCAACAGTTAGCTGAGAGTTATGGGAAGAGGAACTTTTTGTAGCACACTGTCCTTACATTTTCTTTCAAGGCTATACTACCTCATTTTCTAAACTACATACATTTGGTAATTCAAATTCAAAATGTGGGTTGAAATTTCTCATTCACAATTAATGGTTGTTCAAGTTATAAAATGTAATCCTCTTCCAATAATTGACACTCTTTCAGCTCTACATTGTCAACCCTGCATATCCAAGAGTTATGTTTACATTGGCAAATATTGATTTTGCTGAGTAAAATAAAAGTAGATAAATCTACTTACCACTGATTGTAGCTGTCTTACAAAGAAAAAGCCATATTTTATAACTGAGACTTCTCTTAATGTTTCCTCTTCCTCCCCCTCCCATTTATAATGAAAATAATCTTTTTCTTCATTATTGTATGTTGGGCATGCCAAATAAAGAGAAATGGAACTATATTTAAATAATAAATGAATGGGATATACTCTTTAAGTTGCTTATATTTTTTTACACATTGTATTGTACCTCCAGAATAAATACAGTCTGTTTAAAATTGCCTACTGAACTGTCTTTGAGTTTTATTATCCACTGAATTTAAAATTTGTGTTAATTGTTTTTCCTGTTGTTATTTTTACTTCCACGCACTCAGCT